CATTTTTCCATTAACTTTTGGAATCTCCTTTGTATTACTTAATTACCTGTTTTTAACTGTTACCTTCAGAATTCTACACTTTCCTCAAGGGCAGGATTTTTTGTTCCTATCCCAGAACCAAGAATAGAATCTGTGCCTATTAAATATTAAATGAATGCTATGCTTAATTCAATGATTCTTCTTTGGTAGATTTCATCTTACCTTGATTGCCTTTTGAATGTTGATGCATGACTCTCTTATGGTCTGCAGTAACTTATTGAAACGACCCATCTCTTGGACAAGTACAGTGTTCATACTCTGAGTGTAAGTTGTTGGGTATCTCCTCATTGCAGCCTCAACATCAAAGTTTTTTGGAAGTTTACCTAAGATGTCACCAGCCACCTCATTTACCACTTCATCTGATGACTTTGCACCAGCACCTGCAGAACGAGACTATAAAGAATACAAACTCTAAATCAGAAATCCTAATAAAGGTGTAAGAAGTACTGAGTAGGAAAACCCCTAGAGTATGAACATTGCTCTGCTGTTTTCTTCATGATCCTCCTCCACACAAGATTTATTAAGAGAGAAGACAACAGGTATGGGGTAGGGATGGTGGGGTTTCAAGAAAACAATTATCAGAGATGAGCAAGAAGGGCATAAACAGTGTTCGGAGGCAAAAGATGGTTTTGAGGAAGCAAGAGAACTGCACATTGTGCTGTGTGGATGGAAAAGGAGGAACAGGTGCTGTAAACGGAAAAGGAAAAGGATCGACATTGGCGAGGGAGCCAAATGATGATGGTAATAAAGCCCGTGAGGAAGAAATCTGATCTTGCTTTTGAGAAAACTTGCCACAAAATGTATTTGCTAATAACTCTGGTGCCTACTGGTTGCCAACAGAGATATAGTTTTCTCCTTGAACCAGGAGGGCAAAGAAAATAGTGCTTATCCCCTCTGAGCAGTAAGAAGAGTTATGGAGAAAAGGCAGCCTGTAGTGATTCACGCAGGAGGCAAGGAAGGGAATTTCATTTCTATTTTAGTTCTATATGTTTATAGTGGCACTGTGTAACTGAATTTTTATTTTCTGGAAAAGCCTTTAAATCTTCAGAGCAAAAGAATGAATGAAAGGATGTGTGTGTGTGCGTGAGTGTGTGTGTGCGCGCGCCTGCATGGTGGGGCTGCGGGGCACACACACATATTTTCCCAGTTCTAGGCAACTGTGTTCATTCTTCTTTAGGATTTTATGAGTCTTGCTTTAATTCTAAATTAGATTCCATAAATATTGATTATTACTTTTACTTAAGTTTATACTGTGACTTTCAACACTACCTACTGCATACCAGCATATGTTTTACAATAAAAGATTTCAATGTTGGTAGTTTAATTACATGATAATAAAAAGGGGGTTATGACCATAATTAATTCTTTATTATGATCCCAAAGTACTCTGTTTACAACTAAATATATAAAATCATAGTGAACCAAAAGGATAATGAATATTCAGACAAAAATAGTAAAATGTCTATTTCTATTGCGTTTGAGGAATCATGTTGATTTCTGTCCATTTATATTTTGAAGTACATACAACATGCTATAGGGTCCTACTGTGGCGCCGTAGGTTAATGCGCTGGACTGCAAAGCTGGTTTGAACTGCAAGGTCAGCAGTTCAAGCTCACCAGCTGCTCCTCAGAAACCCTATATAGGGTCGCTATGAGCCTGAACCGACTCGACTGGCACTTAACAACAACACAAAGTACTGTAAAGACACTAAGCACATTCCTATTTTTTAACAAGAGCTTTCCTAGAAAAGAAATTCATTTCTTAGAGTTTTCATAAATGCAACTTTGGATGACCCAAGAAGCAAGGTAAGCACTGGTGTGCTTACTTGCTAATATGTAGTGTAGATGTAGGTTCACATGTTTTTTAACCACATCTTGGATATGAAGAAACCCATATGATATTGTTTACTGGCTTTACTTTGCTTATTCAGGAATCCACTCCTGCACAAATGTCATTTGAAATCTTCTAAGGGTCAATTTCCTGTTGTCAAATAATGATAAGTGGATACATTTTCAAAGAGACATTGATTTTAACCTTTTGAGAGATCTTAGGTTATTTTCAGATTTGTAATATTTAAAATTCAGATCATTTTTCTATTAAAAATAGAGTCTGGCAGTTAAGTTTAAGCAAAAGAGCTCTACAAAAGTAACTCCAATATCTCTCTCACTTATATTTTTCTTAGAACAAGGCAGCTTTAAAAAGTTCTTTGAAAAATTGAATTAAAAGACAATGAACTTTGTCCACGAACTTTTTGAAGCCCCTGCGTATTTCTTAATATATAAAACAGGAGTCTTGTCATTGTTCATGTGCTCTCTGAGCTCTGCAATTGTAGGCTCTTTGCCTCTGAATTGTAGCAAACCCAATCTAAAACCATTGCACTACTGCCTGCCCATTACTCTAATAGTACTTGCCAAGCTAAGGTGCAGGGTATTGGTAGAGGTTGTTTAATTACATACTGAGAAGACACCCCTTGTGTATTTAAACTAATTTATTTGGTTCTGAGTCATTTTCTGTTGGAATGAGCCCACTGTTTTATGTATTCAGTAATGTAGCATACCCCATGAAGTTTAAATAAATCCAATGACACTACAAAGGTCCTGTTGCAAGACTAATTGTCCTAACCACTACTCATCTGTCAGTTTGTTGTACTGTTGTGGCTTGCATGTTGCTGTGATCCTGGAAGCTATGCCCCAATATTTTAAATACCACTAGGAGTCCTAGAAAATAATCTGAGAAACTGGATTATATGAAGAAAAATATGGCATCAGGATTGAAAGAAGACTCATTGACAACCTGAGATATGCAGATGATACAACTTTGCTTGCTGAAAGTGAAGAAGACTTAAAATATTTACTGATGAAGATCAAAGACTACAGCCTTCGGTATGGATTACATCTCAACATCAAGAAAACAAAAATCCTCACCACTGGACCAATAAACAACATTCTTATCAACAGAGAAAAGATTGAAGTTGCCAAGGACTTAATTTTTCTTAGATCAACTATCAACACTCATGGAAGCAGCAGTCAGGAAATCAAATGACGTATTGCATCAGGCAAATCTGTTGCACAAGACCTTTTAAAAGTGTTGAAGAGCAAAGATGTCAGATTGAAGACTAAGGTGCGCCTGACCCAAACCATGGTATTTTCAATAACATCATATGCATGTGAAAGCTGGACAGTGAATAAGGAAGACCATAGAAGAATTGATGCTTTTGAGTTATGGTGTTGGAGGAGAATATTGAAAGTGCCATGGGCTGCCCATAGAACCAACAGATCTGTGTTGGAAGAAGTGCAGCCAAGAGTGCTGCCTTAGAGGCCATGATGGCCAAACTTCGTCTCTCATACTTCAGACATATTGTCAGGAGGGACCAGTCGCTGGAAAAGGATATCATGTTTGGTAAGGTGGAGGGTCAGAGAAAAAGAGGAAGACCCAAGGGAGATGGATTGACAAAGTAGCAGCATAATGGTATCAAGCACGGCAACAATTGTGAGATTGGCCCAGGATCATGCAGTGTTTCATTCTGTTGTGCATAAATAAGGTCTCTATGAGTCAGTGCTAACTTGATGGCACCTGACAACAACAACAACAAAGAGTCCTGGTGTGGCACCATAGAATAAGCACTCAACCTTAAGGTTGGTTTGAACTTCAAGGTCAGGAGTTCAAATTCTCCAACTACTCCTCAGAAACCCTATACAGAACCACTATGGATTGGAACCAACTCAACGGCACTTAACAACAACAACAGACTATAGCAGATTAGGAAGAAGGAGAAGCAGACTACTTAGCTTTTTCTGAATACGTAGCCACTGAAAAGCTTATGAATAGCAGCAGGACATTGTCAGAAATAGTGCCAGAAGATGAGCTTCCCAGGTTGGAAGGCACTCCAAATACAACTCAGTAAAAGCTGCAGCTCGAGAAGATAAAGTCAAGTGTTATAATGGAATATACAAAGATCTGGAATTAGAAAATCAAAAGGAAGAACACCCTCAGCATTCCTCAAGCTGAAAGAACTAAGGGAAAAAATTCAAGTATCAACCTGAAATACTGAAGGCCTCTGTGGGCAAAATATTAAGTGATGCAGAAAGCATCCAAAGAAGATGGAAAGAATACACAGAGTATTTCCCAAAAGAAACCATTTATTTCAACCATTTCATGAGACAGCATATGATCAAGAGCCAATGATACTAAAGGAAGAAGTCTAAGCTGCACTGAAAGCACTGGCAAAGAACAAGGCTCCAGGAATTGATGGAATACAGTGTTTGATCAGGGAGTTGCCAGAGAGGTTCAAGCCAAATTCAGAAGAGGACGTGGAACTTGGGATATTACTGCTAATATCAGAGCACAGCATACAAGAAAGATGTTGTGTTATACTGACTGTGCAGAGGTTTTTGACTGTGTGGATCATGACAAACTCAGGATAGTATTGTGGAAAATGGGTTTTTTTCAGAACACTTTACTGTTCTGTACACAGACCAAGAGTCAGTTGTACAAACAGATCAAGGGAATACTGAATGGTTTAAACAAGGAAAGCTATATGTCAAGGTTGTATCCTTTCACGATATTCATTTAATCTGTATGCTCTGAGCAAATAATCTGAGAAGCTGGATTTATGAAAAAGAATGTGATATTGGAATTGGAGGAAGACTTATTAACAACCCGCCATAGGCAGATGAAACAACCTTGCTTGCTGGAAGTGAAGAGGACTTAAAATATTGATGAAGGTTAAAGACTTTCATCATCAGTTCCAATATAAAGAAAACAAAAGTCCTCACAAATGGACCAATAAACAACTTCATGATAAGTGGAGAACATCATGATAAATGAAGTTGCCACAGACTTCATTTTGCTTGGATCCACAATCAACACCCATGAAGCAGCAGTCAAGATATCAATGGTGTACTGCATTAGGCAAATCTGCTGCAAAAGACCTCCTTAAAGTGTTCAAGAGTAAAGATGACAGTTTGAAAACTAAGTTGTGCCTGACCCTAGCCATAGTATTTTCAATGGCCTCATATGCATATAAACGTTGAACAATGAAAAAGAAAGAGCAGAGAAGAATTAATGCATTTGAATTATCGTGCTGGTGAAGAATATTAAAAGTACCATGGACTTCCAGAACACTTCTTGGAAACCACGATGGCAAGACTTCATCTCTTGTACTTTGGCATGTTTTCATCAGGAGGGAACAGTCCCTGGAGAAGATCGTGCTTGGTACAGTGGAGGGTCAGTGAAAAAACAGGGAGACTCCCAACAATTGATGCAGTGGCAACAGCAATGGACTCAAGCGTAATAACAATTGTGAGGATGGCACCAGACCAGGTGGGGTTTCATTCTGTTGTGCGTAGTGTCACTGTGAATTGGAAATGACTCAACAGCATCCAACAACAGTTTTCTTAAAGATATGTTAATCTATTCATAGCCATACATATAGTGTTGTGCCCTGGTAAGGACTGATTTTAATTCTATTATGGAGCTCTGGTAGCATAGTGGTTATGAGTTGGGCTGCTGACCTGAGTATCAGCAGTTCGAAACTACAAGCTGTTCCGTGGGAGAAAGATGAGGCTTTCTGCTCCAGTAAAGATTTACAGCCTTGGAAGCCCTGAGCAGGTTCACTATGACTCCAAGGCACACCACCACCACCACCAATGTGTAGTGCTATTAATGTGGACCCCTGGTATGGCACTGTTGGTTAATGTGTTGGACCACAGGGTTGGCTTGAACTGTAAAGTTGGTGGTTCAAGCTCACCCGTTGCTCCTTGGGAGCCCTATACAGGGTCGCTATGAGTTGGAGTCGACTCAAAGGCACTTAATAACAACAACAGTGTGTAAAATGGACATAGAAATAGTCTTTGTCCTTTTGCCCTATTAGAAAATGCCACCTTGGCATAGACCCAAAAGGAGTTCTCAAACTCTTCAATCATCTGCTTTGTTTCTTTGATCTGTTCAGCGTCTCTGGCGATCTGCCCTCTATGCTTTATCTCATTTTTAGAATCCAGAGAGATGGTATTTGTTGTTAAGTAATCAGGTGTCAGTTCCAACTCATAGCAATCTTGTATAGAATTTCCAAGACTTTAAATCTTCATGGGAGCAGAAAGCCTCATCTTTTTCCCTTGGAGTGGCAGGCGGGCACCACACACCTCATAGCTTGCAGTCCAATGCTTAATGAGTAGCCTAGGGTTAAGTACAGGAGTCCTGGTGTGCCAATGTGGGATAATGCGCAGGACCACAGAGTCAGTTTGAACCAAAATCCACCAGTCACTCCTCGGAAACCATATACAGGGTTGCTATGAGTCAACAGGATTCCAAGGCACTTAACAACAACAACAGGGTGAAGTACACAGATTTTCGAACCAAACTTGTAAAAGCCCACCGTTTGGCTTTGAGTTCCTGTTTCCAATTGTACTAGCTGACCTTGGGCACATTAGTTCATCTTTCTGTGTCTCAGTTTTCTCACTGTACAATGAGAATAATAATAGTCCCTAACTCTTAGGATTATTTGTAAATACTACAATGTTTAATATACATACAGCACTTAGAGCAGCGCTAGCATACAGTTAGCATTAGTATTTATCAAAAAAATAAAAAAACAAAAGTGCATACTCCTTCTGAAAGGAGAACAGCAAACACAAGAGAACCCTCGTAATAGACACACGAGATTTAGCAGTATTTTCATTCACGTGGGCTATGGCATGCTGGCTTCTGATGTCTCTGAAAATAACTCTGTGATATGGTCACCTTGCACTTGGTGTTCTCACTAGTTGAACACTGTACACCCACCAAGAATCCGCTGTAGTCTTCCCCCTAAACATTTTTATACATTTTGTATTTATGATTACAATTGCACACTTTAATTAAATCGTATTTAATCTCATAAAATGTGAGTGTGAGAGAAACTGCTTCTATGTGAACAAGACTCTGGAAAATTTGAAAAAGGTTAAGTCATTTTTAAAAAATTGCTGTCAAATTAAGTCTGAAACAGCCAACAGCAAAGATTACTGGTGGCACATTGGATTAAATGTTGGACTGTTAACCATAAGGTTGGAGGTTCAAACCCAGTAGCTGCATCATGGGAGAAACATGAGGCAGTTAGCTCCTGTAAAGATTTTTATAGAGTCAAAGGGTTATAGGGTTGCTACGAGTCCCAGTCCACTCAATGGCAGTGGGTAAAAGACTGGGAAATAAAAGATGTAAAATTCTAGAGAGATACTGTTATCAAACTGCTTCCCAAATATCATTGAAATTCTTCTCCCACTTTAAATACATTGAAAAAGAACATGTTGTTGGCCTTAGTACCATCGAGTCATTTCTGACTTATAGGGACCATCCCAGGAGTGGCTGGTGAGTTTGAACTGCAGACATTGGTCCAGGACCCCCAAAAGGACATACATAGTATAGAATATGTTAGGGCATGTGTTATGCAAGAAAAGCAAAATAGAACATCTAGCAGTAAAATGATACTCAAAATAAGAGATCTTTGCTTCAAATCAAAAGATTGAGGGAGGAAAAAATCCATATAGATTTGTTCTTTGTGTTAAACTCTCTATGTAAGGTATGTGTGTGTTTTTCCTTACTAAAAAAATGACTCCCTGCTTTGAAAGAATTGTGTGAGAGAACTGCTTGCTGGCACATGCTGTTTGGAGGGTGTCCCTACAGGCCTCAGGAGCCAATTCCTGTACAGATCACACACCTGTGTGAGAAGAATGTTATCAAATAGCAGCTGAGTTTCTGACTGATCCTTGGTGATATCTGCATTGGCATTCATCCCAAAGATTTCTGGTGATGGGGTCAGCGGCAGAGTCTTTGTATATTCAATGTAGCTTTTGTGCTGCAAGGATGAATAACAAGAAGTCAGAAGGTCAGAAATCAATTGTTCAATAGAAAGTTCTCACAGAAAAGAGGTAATTTTCAATCCCCAAGTTAATGAGTAGATGAGCCTGGGAGACTGGACACAGAAGGCTTTCATTTTCTTTTAGCCTGTGACAAAGTTAAAAATATGTATACATGGACACATAAAGAAAAAGAAACTGTAACATTCAACTGGAATGTGTTTTAAAATGGAGGGAGAGGCGAATCCTAGTAACTTCATTTAGAAGTTTCTTCCAGAAATATCTTCCTTGCTGCATTTTGCTGATGACTATTCCTAGTATTTCACAATAAAAATAAACTTTTCTGATTATAAAATTTACTTTTAATGTGAAAAATCCATTCAGTTTAGAAAAGTAAAACTTAACAAAATTTTCTTATCCCTAGATAACCACTATTAACAAAGATACATTTGTATCTTTTAAAGTATATGCATAAAATTTGTGATATTTTATTTACACAGAATTTTATCAAAATTTTATACCTTTGTTGATGTCCAGAGGATCGCTGAAAAACATCCACGTACATATATGGCAAAGGGTTACAGCATCGATGGGTTCATGATATGGGTCACATTACACACATTTATCTTCATCTTGCTTTTTTCTCATTTGACAATTCATCATTGGAGATCTCCTTACTTATGACCCTCCATGTTGACATGCTGTACCTGATTAGCAACCTAGGTTATGCTAAGATCTACCCTGGCAAGATCTGCCCTTAGCTAGCATTCATCCTAGTGAATGGCGGGGTCAGGGTTGGGAGCTAAGGCATTTATCTCTGTTGCATGAGGCTGTGCGCTTAACTTTCAATATGTGCCCTTTTTATTTCTGGGAATAAAACAATTTGAATAAAACGATTTGAACTAATTTGAATGCCCTGGCACGTCCTAGAAAATGATAATATGGTCATCTGAAGGCAGATACCACATCTCCCACAAGACAGGTCTAGAAGAACAGCATAAGGGAACCTTGGCCTGTTGGCACAGCTGGTTCTGTGACTCTCTGCCACTTGCTAGTTGCGGGCCTTGGAGAAACCACTTCACCTTAGCAAACCTGCTTCCTTGTTTGTAAGAGGGATAAAATAGTACTAACACTGCTCCTTTGAGGTAATTATGTGTAACTGCTTTGTAAATAATTAAGCATGATACAAGCATTAAATATTAATGATATTTGTCACCTCTCCCATGTGTATTTTCATTTTAAATGGGGACAATGCCTTATTACCCAAAGGACTGAATTCATGATGGCACAATTTCAAGTCACTTTGGAAGCTAGTCTTGGATGAGGAATGCTTCTGATATTTCTCACATCACTGTGGACAAGAAACTACTAACTCCATCTAAGCATGGGGTTTGCTCTGTTCCTATAAGACTAGAGAGAGCACAGATAATAAATGCAAGGGTTAACAAAAAACAAGGTTTCAGGAAATCACCTTAAATATATATATATATATATATCAATCAACATCATCACTACCAGAGGAATTTCATATTTTACTGCATGTAGTTTTCTAAAGGGCATACTTACATCGCCAGAAGGAGGGACAAAATAGATGCCACTTGAGTCAAATTTATAGTCTGAATTTTCCACTAATTCTGAATTGAAGAATTTGTTGAGGATGCTACGCAATGTGCGACGATCCCAGTCGTCAGTCACCCTGCCTCCATAATTGCATTCACCTGTCATGTATCGCAGAGCATCGTAAGGCAGCTCCTAAAACGGAGAGCGCAAGTCACTCACCTAATGAAGTGCTATTGCAGTGTATACAAAACTCTTTCTCATTTACTCATATTATTAAATGAAATATCTTACACAAAATTTTGTATCAACACAATTTCCTTTATATACTTCCTTGTGAAATGTAATTTTTCAGATGGTCTTTCTCTCCCTTTGAGGCTTTTTATTTCCATTCAATCATTGCTGAGAAGAGAGGTCCTCTATTGTGAATTCTTCACTTATTTTTCAAGTAACACTAAGCATCTATTATGTGCCAGGCACAAATGATTTAGAGCACAATCTCATCCTTGAGAACTATGCACTGCTGAATGATACGTAAACAAATCCAATATAATTCAAATCATCGGTGTTTGTTTTCTTCACTATTTTTCATAGTAATGGATATTTACACAATTGGAATCACACTGTACACACTAAATTTTCATCAAATCTCATGAGTTTTAGCCCTTTCATGAAATATTATTTGAATATGCTATAATATTTAATCATTACCTTCTAATGCTTAAGATTCAGACGTTCACACTGTTCAGTATTGTGTTTTAGCAAACATGCATGTTATGTTTTTTAGCCTAGATTTCTAAAAAGGAAGTTACTATGTCAAAGTGAAGGAACTTACAAAGAACACTGAACCGACTGCTCTTCTCAACTGCTGTAACAATTGTAGCAATCAGTTTAAAAATCTTTGCTAATTTGAAAGATCACAGATAGTTAACATTGCTTTAATTTGCATTTTCTAGAATACTTGTGAGGTTCATAATTTTTCCATATGTCTAATAACCTTTTGTAGTTCTAATGTGGTGCTTTAGCATAAGGACTGAAACCCCAAGGTAGATTTGAGGTTCAAACTCACCAGCTGCTCCTTGGAAACCCTACACAGGGTCACTATGAGTCGGAACCAACAACACTTAGCAACAACAATAACCTTTTGTAGTGCTTCTGAGAACAAGCCTTCTACTCATTTTTTAAAAAATATTGACATCTTGACAGTTTGTGTATGTGTGAGTGTGGTTATGTTCATAAGCTGTTTTATAAAGTGAGCATTTAAGAAATGTGTGGCAAAATCTTTTCCAGTTAGTTTGCCTTTTGCCTTTAAATGATGTTCTTTGGTGTAAGCATTTTTACATGTTTACAATGATGGGTTTTTTCACACTGCATTGTCTTTTGATCCTAAGCATACACACCTAGCAGCAGTATAGAAGAATTTTCAACATTCTCACCAACACTAAGAATTATTATTTAGAGAAAAAGAAAAAGGAAAAAAGACAGTTAAAGGATACAAGTATTTTTAATTGTTTTAATTTTCTGTGTTTATTATTAATATTGACACTAAAAATATTTATTCACCATTTGTTTTCTTTATTATGTAAATGATCTTCTCTGATCTTTATGTGTTTGCTTAATTTGAATGTTTATCTTTTTTCTTATTATTGAAGACTCGTTATAAGGAAATTGAATCATTCTGTCATATAAATTTTAAGAATTGTCTCCAACTTTTTGTTTGCCTTTTATTTTTATGATGTTTAATTGCTTATATTTTTAAAACCGCAAAGGTTGAAAATATTCTCTATGCAAACACAGCGTCCTTTTAATTTAGAATTTTTTTATTTACCACTTCTGTGCTTTATATACCTTTCTAGCGGTTATCTGTTGAGCTCTAAAGTGTATGGAAACTGCGTTTCAATGATCCCACTGGGAGGAATCTCTTCTATAGAAATAATAGCACCAAAGAAGAATAAGTGATTAGAGAGGGGAAATGTACTGAATCAGTGGTTGGGAATTTATGAGGTTTGTTATTTTGAGGCAATCAATATAAGAAAACATGTGTTACTGACAGCCTGCTTGGAAAGACAGAATCAGAAAGGAAAATGCTCGAATATTTATGTCCAACTGCAAATGGGCTGTGAGCGTGATCAAGGATGCTGAGTTCTGCCTCATTGACAGGCCCCCACTTCATAAAAGGAAAATCAAGAAACTCATGCTGATGTGTGCTGTCAAGTTGGTTCCAACTCACAGCAACCCTGTGTAGGGTTTCCAAGGCTAAAAATCTTTAGGGGAGCAGAAAGTCTCATCTTTCTCCCATGGAGGGGCTAGTGGGTTTGAACTGCTGGCCTGGTGGCTAGCAGTCTAGTGCTTATCCTACAGTGTCACCAGGGTTCATTAAATAAGTTGTAATCAAAGTAGAGAGCATATGGGCCAGCCAGTCCCTGAGAAGGTTTTGTGATGCAGACAGAAAAGATTTGGAAGGGGAGAATTTGATTTATGCATAAAAGGGTTAAACTCTGCCAACGGGTCCCTGAGAATTTACACCTAACATGCTATGCTACCTTGCTGTTTCTGTCAGCAGCATGGTCACACCAGAGTCAGTGACCCTGGGGGGTGTTTTCTTCCCGAGGCCCAGGTGAAGTGACTGGAGACATAGAAATAAACAGTACTTTTCTCCTTGGATTGAGTGCTTTCTCTGTTGTTATGGGATACTTAAGCTAAATTTGTAATGAAAACCTAGTGTGCAACATTATATGCAGAGTTGTTCCCTTCAGCATCATTTTATTAATAAAAAAATTGAAATAAAATTGTAATTGTTAACAAAAGGGAAATGTTATATAAGTAGATGTTAAAACAAAGATCTATATCTATTTTGAAAGTTGTTCACAACACATGTAAACAAAGCAAACTGAAAATGACTATGCACAGCATTTTATGGAAAAATGTGTGCATACATATGTATGCATATGTGTATCTATATATGCAGAGTCCAGATGTGGCGCTTTGGATTAGCATTGAACTGATAACCACAAGGTTGGTAGTTCAAACTCACCAGCCGCTCCTCAGAAACACTATACAGGGTCACTATGAGTCAGAATCAACTTGACACACTTAAGAGCAACGACAATTTCTATATGCACAAGAAAACTCCTGGAGAGGCATGCTATGAGCTGTGAAACTGTGAAATCTAGTTACTTTGGAGTTGATGAAGTGGTTAGAATGGGGAGTAGGCCTTTCTCACACACACATAACAAAATCACAACAAAAGTAATTGCCCATTTGACAAGCAGATAATACAAAGGGGCTTCAAAAAGTTCATGGAAAAATTCCATTATCTTTTTATTCAATTATTCTACAAATGTTTTGAAGTTCATATGTCTATGTTGCTGTTGTGTGCCACCAAGCCAATTTTGATTTACAATAACCATATATGATAGGACAGACCTGCCCATAGGTTCCCTAGACTATAATCTTTCCAGAAGCAAATTTCTAGGTCTTTTCTCTCACAGAGCGGCTGGTGGATTTGAACAGTTGACCTTTTAGTTATCAGCCAAATGCACCTGTCATTTATTTTTTGCTTTCATTTTTCCTAGCTTTAAAAAAATCTAATAGGAATTATATTGTATGTAGCAAGAATCTAACTTCATTTTTTCCTAATAGCAAATAACCAATTATTCAATCATCATTTCTTTCATTTTTATTCTTCTTAAATGCTGCAATTGTTATATCAAATTTCTACATATAGTAATGTTGCCGTTTTTGTTTTTGAGAGATGGAAGATCCTTTCCTATGTCACGAGATAGTAATTCATACACCAAATAGATATTGATTGAGCACTGGGGATATAAGAGTAAACAAAACCAAGTCCCCATTAGACAAAATGTGCTTTCCTTCTGGGTATTTCCCAGGGACCTGTCTGTCACCAGGTCTGGTAAGTTTGCCAGAGCAAGTTGGGGACTGAGAACCTATGTTCCTCGTCAATACACTATAGAATTTTAAGGACAAGATGACAGAGATGATGGGCAAGTAGATCAAAACTGGAGCCATTTCCTGTTCACACAGGTGTTCAGCCACAATGCTAAGGATCTCAACACAAGGTGAACAAAAAGGGGGAGGGAAGTTTGGATCCTGAGTGTTAGTTTAAAAAAGAATTCAAAACTAGACAAGAACTGAACACAGACAAGGGCATGACAAATACAAAGAAAATAAATGCAACCCCCAGGGATGTGAAAGAGCACATCACACTGGGAAGAGAGCAAGTAGACTGTAGAAATGCAGTAGAGCACCTGTGGTTGAAAGGAGAGGTGAGGAAGGGTGAAGACTGATGTGGCTGGGGAGGGATAAGGAATAGCTGAGCACTGATGGCTTCCAGGTTTCTAGCTTGAGGGTTTGGTGATTGTGCTTCCATGACTTTGATGCAGGAAAAGAATGGAAAATGGGGCACAACAATGTTTAATAATTCTCCATGGAAACAGGATTCCTTAAAATAATCTTCCTTCTGCTACTTCTGAGAATTTTCCCAATTCCTTGAACTATTATTTCTTTATGAAACACTTCACTTTATATCAGCTTTTTATGTTAGCACCTGACTAGAAATTGAGGCCCAATGATACGTTCTAGGCCCAATGCTTAATAGGCCAGGGATCTCACAGGTGAAATCTTTATCTGATTGCTACTGGTATTTCCTACTCTAAAATGCCTGAGATTTGCCTGTGGATCTCCCCCACACTATAGGCTTGCTTTGATATTTCATTCTTCTTGTCTAGGGAACCCTAGCAAGACCATGTTTTCCAGTCATGAAACAAGGATCCTGAAATCATTCACTCCTTTCCCCTGCTCCACATTTGACATGTTCCTGTTTTGTTAAGTGCCATCAAGTCAGTTCCAACACATAGCTTTTCAAGGGTGGCTTCTAGCTGCAGTAAATTATAATTAGAACTTATATATCTGTTTGCATGGCATTAGTAGATCCACTGGACCCATGTTGGAGCCAGAAGCATATTCTGGTACAAGTTAGGAAGTCCTAACTTGCAACCATAAATTCACCCATATTCCAAGTGGAGATGAATCCACCCCTCATTCCTTTGAGTCCTTCATTCTATTCAGTCTCTTGATGGCCACAGCTGTCTAGATTTCCTGTGTGCATATAGTATGCACTACTGCTGATGTTGCTGTGAGCTCTCGAGTCCGTCCTCACTGATAGCGACCCTGTATAGGGTTTCAGGGGCTGTAAATCTTTATGGGAGCAGAAAGCTTCCGCTTTCTCCTGTAAAGTGGCTGGTAAATTCAAACTACTGACCTTGTGGTTAGCAGTCCAACTCTTAACTCATTACAGTATCAGGCTCCTTACAGTATGCACTAGACAGCTGAACTCTGATCGCTCTATCAAGACAGTGGATCATTATATTTTAAGAAAATGTGTTGACTTTTTCAAAAGGGTTATACTTAATAAAAGCACAGGAATTGTGAATCCACATTTTTCAAAGAATCCCTCCTTTAACTCTTGATGAATTCCATGTGACTCATGAGTAGCAGTTTTGTCAAGCTTGCTTTGTGATTATTGTGCTCAGAGTATGGGAAGCACAACGGAATTGTCATTTAATAGAGGAAATCAGTCAGTCCTGTATGTCATTAAAGTATTATTGATTAAAGAGAAATAGCTTGTACTTGTAGCACATAGTAACTCATCACTGTAGATTTACTACATTTCAGTACCATATATATATATTTTTTGCTATAAATGGACTAAAAGAAACACAGGTGTGAATGTGAAAACTAGTCATCCCTCCCCAAATAAACAAGAAGCTCTGGTAGCATGGTGATTACAAGTTGGGCTGCTAACCTCAAGGTCAGCAGTTCAAAACTACCAGCAGTTCCATGGGAGAAAGATGAAGCTTTCTGCTCCCATAAAGATTTACAGCCTCAGAAACCCTATTCAGGGTCACTATGAGTTTCGAACTGACCCCACAGCACATAACCACCACCACCCCAAATAAATACAGTATAATTTCTGAAAAGTCCTAGAGGATAGATACGGATATATAACACTCTTTGAAGTTACAGTTGCAAATCCTAACACAAAATATTTCATTGACTGCAGCCTTTGACAAAGTCCCTATTCTTCACATTCCCTATTTACTCAGCTTGCTTTCTGCTCTTTCTGTACTTCAAATCTGTATTCCTTCTTACCATTGATATTTGGTGCTCACCAACATTCTATCTTAAGTTGGTAAGGACACAGGGCTGTGCTGCAGCTAATTTTAATTCACATTCAGTGCCAAACCAGAGAATCATACTGAATTCACAATAATCTGAGAAGTTTCATCTCTGATAGAAAAAAACATCAAAAGCTTTACTTGGATTCCATGAAATGAGAGTGAAAATGAATTATTGATTGGAATTGTGTGATTTTTCTATTTAAGCATTTGGTGACACTGACATGAAAGTTGCATCATTTGCCTGTTTAACAATTTCTTCTTCCACTAATAGAAGCCACACATGGGTTCTGTGAAGAGAACTTATTTAGAAGAAACGCTTGATCCGATTTGATGCAGTTGCACCTTCTGCAGCTGCATGTGTTCAATCAGCATTTTGGGACAAAGACTTTTTGAAGTAACTACTAACTTTGGAAATCTGCTTCTTCAGTAAATTTATGTTTTCAGGTTTCAGCAGTACTACCAGTGAGATGACTGTGGTCCCCACGGTGAACAGCAAATGCCCACAAACATTTGTACAGGCCAAATATTCACCATTAAGTTGACTAAGAAACAGAAACACAGTTCGTAATTTTGCTGTACATTTGCTTTTTAAAACTTGTTTCCTAATAGGTTTACTGAAAAATTAAAAAGTCAGCAGATGATAAAATAAGTAATCATCATAGATTTACACTGCACAGTAAGTGACAAAACCACGGTAGCAGGAGCTTTCAGATGACTCTATATGTATGTGCTCAGTCTCTGCTTCACCTACATAGGTCATAGACGTTAATCCTATCATTTCCCATGCCTTCTATTGATGCTTCTAACTGGTGACTGGAATTTTGTATTTCCTGATGGCAATGGGAAAGTCATAATGTCCCTTAATAATTCACCAAGTGACCATGATAGGCAGCAGTGTTTACCACTCCTTCTAGGACTTCTGAGACTTTAACCATTTGTGTCCCAGGGTACTTGGTATTCAGTGAGCACTCTGCGTGCTATCTTTGAATGGGAAGTGTTAGTCTGTGATCCAAAGAGTTACCACTGGTGTTTTTTTCACCACATCCAGTGTCATCACGGGACACATACTTATTCACATCATTATAGGAGTCCTGGTGTGGCACTGCAGGACAATGAGCTAGACCATAAGGTCAGTTTGAACCGCAAGGTGGGTGTTTCAAACCTACCAGCTGTTCCTGTGAAGCCTTATACAGGGTCGGAACCCACTAGACGGCACTTAACAACAACATACATAATATGCTAATCAGTCCTGGACTGCTAACCACAAGGTCTATGTCTCAAATCCACCAAGCACTCCTCAGAAACCCTATACTGAGTCGCTATGAGTCTATCCTGACTTGGCTTGTAACAATAACAATTACGTAGGTAAAATGGTATCTAATTTTAAGATTAGGCAGGAATAGATATGATCAGGTTTTCTTTAAGAAAAAGAACTCTGGTTTAGTTAACGTTTGTATCATTTAAAAGTTTAAACTACTCTATTCAATAAGACAAAGGGAAAAAAAAATCTCAAAGAAGAGTACACTATTTCGAAGTACAAAAGCAATGATAAGTGTGTGTGTTTATACATCAGAATATAGAGGAAGAAATGTGAGTGATATGACATTAGATGGTTTTGGCTGATCTCCAGAATCTATACTTCTGGTTAACACCCACTGCTTAAATCGTTCATTTTTTTCCTGACAAATGGCCCAAACTCTGGAATAACAGTACAATGGCATTTCCCTAAAAGTGCTCTAGAACAGAAGAAAATTTGTCTTTTGTTGTTGTTTTCTTTTCATTTTGAAACCTGGTTGATCTATGGTCCTCTCAAATCCTTGATCACCTTTCATGTCCCACAGGCATTTATGTGTCACAGTAAATGACAAATACAGATTCCTAATGCACAAACTGACATCCTAACTACCTACTACCGTGGTCCGAATATCCTAGTATAATAAAGTACTACTTAATACGCTGTGGGGCACTATCCTTCTTATTCATTTTATAAGAGTAGAGATTAATCAGAAGTCCCTGCTTGTTGTATAAACACTTAACAACACGATAAAGGGCAGAATAGGTAATGAGCTGGCTGTGATTTTTCAGTTACCTCATACTGGTTGAGGAACATTTGGAGTTGCTGTACACTGATTCTTAGGTCAGTCTCATTGAACTCGTAAGGGATATTCCACCCCAGAGGTCCAAATTTCCGTCTCTCTTGCACCAAGGCATGGAAAAAACAGAGGCCATACAACAATTTCTTGAATTCTTCCTGTAATGATTAGAAATGGTACCATAGCATTAATCACCCCCAACATTGCGTTATACTTATCAGATATCAAAATGAAAGTAATTCATTTCTTTTGTTGAGAAATAGCATCAAGATATATTTACCCCAAAGTAAAACCAAAATAGAATTAAGTCTGTTACTGTAAGCTATTGTGGCAAAAATAGGCTTACTTATATGCATGTTCAATGGGCACACTTAGCTATGTTCACCAGGGCTTTAGGACACAAGGTTGGCTTTCCAACTCAAAGTGACTATAAAACTTTACATTATTTGAGAGCAAACTGAAAAGTCATGAGGCTACCCACCAGTTTTATCCAAGGGCAGGGATGAAGTTTCCTCCGTGGAGTAAATTGTGAAGGGTGAGAAGGAAACAAAAATGACACACACAGAGATGACAGAAACTAAAGGAAAACATATTGCACTAATTCTCAAGCTGTTTTAGATATATCAGAGGATTAAGCAAATCAGTAAATGTGCTGAAGTTGTGAGGAGCCAGGTTTCTCATTATGGAAGAAAAGAATGAGGAAGAAGAGAACCCCAAGTTGATGAACTGGGCTTGGAGGTATCAGTATAAACTCATGGTTTCTAAAATATGTGTGCATGTAAGCATATATTTGTGAACATGTACTTGCATATATATTGGTAGTGGTGGTGCTATGCTGTGAAGTTGGTTCCAACTCATAGCGACCCTGGATGGGGTTTCCAAGGCTGTAAGTCTTTACGGGAGCAAATATCTCATCTTTTTCCCATAGAGTTGATGGTGAATTCGATGCTTGACTTTGTGGTTAGCCACCCACTAGAGCTCTCTCTCTCTCTCTGTGTGTGTATAGTGACCCTATATAAGGTTTCCAAAGAGAAGCTGGTGAGCCTGAACCATTGACCTTGTAGTCCAGCACATTAAACTGCAGTGCCATATCAAGACCAGTATATATATTAGGGGGCTTCAAAAAATTCAAAGAAAAATGGAATTAAAAGATAATGAAAAGTGTCCACAAACTTTTTGAAGTCCCCTCACATATATATGTATGTGTGTATGTATATTTGATATGTGTGTGAGAATGTACATACTTGTGTATATTTCCTAATTATTTCCTTTAAAGAGCCAAGAACCAAAGATATCCCAGTAGTAATGAGCACATCTAGATCTTGGTATCTTCTACCATTACACACTAAAAGGAGCCAGAGCTCCTCAGGAAAATGTCTGGTTCCAGGACTGGGCCAGGATAGTTACGAGATGAACCTAGAACAACTCATTAAGTCAGAAAATAAGGAGTGATGATAGTAACAATATTAATAGAATACAAAAAAAAAAATGGGCATGTCACAAATACAAATATGCTAGCTAGCATGAAGGGGCTTCTACTGACTATATCTGAGCACCAAATTTGAGCAGCAAAAGCCTTAAGTGGCGGTGGTGGTGGGTGTGTGCTACTGAGTCGGTTCTGACTCAGAGAAATCCTGTATAGAGGTTAGAGCCGAAAGGCTCTAAATCTTTACAGGAGCAGAAAGCCTCATCTCTTTCCCACCAAGCAACCGGTAGATTCGAGCTGCTGACCTTACGGTTAGCAACCCAGTCCTTAAACTACTACACAATCAGGGTTCCTTAAGAGATAAGTAGACTAATGAATTATAAAGCCTTGGGAAAAAACCCATAATCCATACTTACTAGTAATACATAGGAAAATAATGGGGGAGAATGGAGGGCTGCTGAGTTCTAAGTGCCCACTGGGAAACATGGAAGGGGTGCTGGAGATAGAAAATAATCAGTTTGCAATCATCATAGGAAATCATTTGCTGAAGCAATAACCATCAGTGAATTTTAAACCTGGGTAGAAAGTAGATTTTGATGGGGGACATGGTCCTAAAATGTTTCCTAATAGACTGATCATTAATTGCAAGAGGAAAGTACAGTTTTTATACAGTGGAGAAACCAGGCAATGCCTTGTCTGTTGTTGTTGTTATTGTTGTTGCTGTTAAAGTGTCATCAAGTCAATTCTGACTCATAGCAACTCTGAATAGGGTTTCTGAAGCTGTAAACCTTTGTGGGAGCAGAAAACCTCATCTTGCTCCTGAGGAGTGACTGGTGGGCTTGAACTGCTGACCCTATGGTTCACAGTCCAGTGCTTATCCTACAGAGCCACCATGTTCCCCACACCTCATCTTTCTCCTGCAAAACTGCTGGTGAATTTGGACTGCTGACCTTGTGGTTAGCAGTCCAACACATAATCCACTAAGCTACCAGAGCTCCTTACACCTTCTCTAGGTGATCAAAGGTAATACTGTTAGTGAGGGACAAATGGACATCATGTGCCTCCAGACGTGACACTGGAGACTCTAACTGAGAAATTGTAATCTGAATCATCCAATCATGAGGAAGCATCCAGCAAACCCCAAAAGAGAAATGTTCAATTTAACAATAAATGGGACAGGTGAATTCTTAAAAAATGTCCATGTCATAAAAAATACAGAAGTGCTGGGGGAAATGTTCCCAACTAAAGAAGGCAAAAAGACATGGCAAATAATGCAATGCTTAACTCTAGACCCTCTCCCATAATGGCGGGAGACCAAGCTGGGACACAAATTCCATCTTGTTCAAGTTACTAAAACTGATGACTAGACTGTGGCTATGTAGGATAATATCCCTGTTTTTAGCAAATATAAGCTGTAGTGCTTAAGGAGAAAGAGCCAAGATACATGTAATTTAGCTGTAAATTATGCATGTGTGCATACATGTTTACAGAGAAAGAAAGAGCAAGAAACACAAATGGTACAAAATTAGAAAGGAAAGAAGTCTTCTTTGTACTAGTTTTACACTTGCAACTTCTCTGTAAATTGAAAATTATTTCTAAATAAAAAGCACTTGACCTTAAGGTCTGTTTGAACCGCAAGACTAGTGGTTCAAAATCACCCACCGCTCCTTTGAAACCCTATACAGGGTTGCTATGGGTTGGAATGGACTCAACTGCATTTAACAACAACATAATAACTGTGACTGTGACTAGAGAGACTTTTAGATCTAAAAGAAAGGGACGGTTGAGTAAAACTTTGCAAAGGACTTTGTGCGGCTCATCAGCTATAGAAGCTCCCTCATGACCCATCTGGGGGTAACCTGCTGTCTCTGAACACAATCAGTGCAAAAGCGAGTCATATGGTAACTCTTAGACATTAGGGAAAAGATTTGGCTCAGATTTTTTTAATATAGATTTTTCCTTTGTTTTGTTTTAGTATCCAAAACTGTTGCCTAATGAACGTATTACTTTATTTTTAATGTTTTCTTCTGGTATGTACTTAAAATATATTCAGACATTAAGAATGTGAGCTTTTAAATGGCAAAATCTTACCCAGGTTCATGACCTCTCTTAAAAAGAAGCTTCCATTTTTAATTATGGTAAAACGCCATGAAACAATTTCAAGTCACAGACATCCACACACAGAATTGTAATCATGAAAGCAGTGGGTGGCATCCCTGCTTGCCTGATGACGCTAAAAAAGACTCATATGAGTCTCATCAATCAAGGAGCAAAATCATTTTGGCACTCATTATAGTCATATGGAGAAAATATTTTTATGTTTTCATTTAGAGATATGCCTCCAAATAGCAAAGGGCTCAGCTAATAGACTCAAAACAAGATTCTCCAGCCTTGCAGATTTGTATTGGGAATGGCTTACAGCTGACTTTCTAAATAGAAAGCTACATTATTAATGACACACCACAAGATCTCAGCTGAGCAAGAATGAGTCTGGTGGTAAAATTAAAATAAAATATTAATAAAATTGACTTCCCCCCACAGTCAATCAGTAATCAAAACCAACTGCACTGCAGCGCAGGAGGCCTATTTAATTTGTAGTTTTACTCTGCACACATCCATAATCACTAGGGGCCACTTGAATTGCTTTACAGGGCTGAGGTAACAAGACTTATCCATTACTAACAGGCTTTTTGCAGCTGCCAAAGAACTCGGGGTCAGAGATCGGGTCCATGAGGTACGATCGAATGATATTAGCCCGTAAACCTTTCGGGGCTTCATTGGTCATTTTCACTCCATTTTGCAGCACGGATACGGGGAAATTCGGAGATGGGTAACTTGTCAACCAAATTCGGAAATCCGGATGTGTGGTTTCTGGGCTTAACTCCTATAAGAAAAGAAATCAGATAGAAAAGCATGAAAAATACCCGAGGAAAATCTCAGGGTTGTGTGTTTCCTGGGGAGTGGGGGCGAGGGGCGCTGGACTGACAGAGGAAGATGCATGTTGACAAAACGGAGCTGTCACCGCTGCAGTTTGTGGCCCGCCCACCGCCATCAAATGGGCTCCGACTCACAGTGATCCTTTGCATGGTTTATGAGACTGTAAAACTTTTAAGAGGGCGGAAAGCCTCATCTTTCTCCTACAGAGGAGAACACCTAGTAGTCCAGTGCTTACCCATACTGCACCAGACCAGGACTTCCATATGAATAGAAAGTTTTAAAGAGGTGTTATATAATTCAGAGTTGACTAAAGTAAAAACCATGGCTTCAAATCGACTCTGGAGGTTCAGTCATGGCTGAAGAAGCAACAGTGGAATGAAACCAAATTTGTAAAATGTGGCTGAACTGAAACACTAACCATAACAGGTAAAAATTACAGGTTTAATCCCTGATGGAACCATACTTCCCCATAGAAAACAAAGGCAGAATGCGTGTAGTTAAATTCGGTCCCTAACTCAAAGATGGTGCCAACAAAATGACTTTCAGTGTGTGTCACTCTCCACGGTCCTGACAACAATCCAACATCAGGCTCCTGAAAGAGCTCACGCCACCTCTCCCAAATCTCCCATTTCAGGGCTGCAATCTATAATTTTTCCTGTTCTCTTTAGACTTCCAGATAACCCAAATTTAAAAAATTCAGGCCTGTTCCACTTTTACTTTGTTGGGCGTGATTGAACTGCTTAGAACAAGTTCATAGCCCTAACAAAAACACTCCAGAAAATCTCGTATCTTCACTAATGTTGCTGAAATGTTTACAGAAATTATCCCTTTGCCTCAGAGCTAGATTAAGTATAATCCCTTCTTTAAAACAAAACAAAACAAAACAAAACAAAAACCATACCTAGGTTGTGAGAATAAGCAACACACTCAAATGAACCAATATTAAACCAAGCAGGGAATTTTTTAAAAAAGGATTTTGAAGGTTGAAAAGAACTTGCATGTCCTGAAGCATTAAAACATACATTATGCTTGTTTAGGGACTCCTGGTAGTGTAGTGATTATGAATCAGGCTGCTAACTTCAGGGTGAGCAGTTCAAAACTACCAGCTGTTCCAAGGGAGAAAGATGAAGCTTTCTGCTCCTGTAAAGATTTACAGCCTCAGGAACCCTGTACAGGGTCGCTATGGGTCGGAACTGACTCCATGGCACATAACAACAACAATAACAAAAAATATTTGTTTAAGGGGAAGGTCAGACCTGAACTACACAGGGTAACAGCATTGTTGTGAAGGTTATATAGAGTCTAGGAATAATTATCACATGCCTTCCTCTCTCTTTCTGTCTAATCCCACTCCCCACTGCTACTTCCCCCAGTTGTCCATGTCAGTAGTATCTAACTTTTTTTTCTTTAGTCATAAATCTTTATCAGTAAAAAATGTGTTTGCACTCATCTGGTGAAGGAGTGAGAATGAATTAAGAAGGATGTGTTCAACTGTTTCAAGAGGTAGCATATGATCAAGAGCCAATGATACCGAAGGAGGAAGTCCAAGGTGCATTGAAGGAATTGGCAAAGAAAAAGGAACCAGGAATGGATGGAATAAAAATTGAAATCTTTCAAGAAAGTGAGGCAGCACAGGAGGCACTCACTCATCTCTGCCAAGAAATTTGGAA